CAATCACAAAGCCGAAAGATGCCACACAGTCCACAGGGGCAAAGCGCCAAACGAAAAACCCGAGATTTTGCCCCCCCACCCCCCAAAAAAGAAGGAAAGGGAAAGCCCCAAGGCTGAAAGCGGTTGTGTAACTCGAGCTGAAAGTTTTCGGGATTTTGGATTAGAGCACGAGGGGGACGGAGCGTTGACTTCATTAGACGAGACCTCTCCAACTTAACGTTTAGGTTCAGTGTGCCTCTAACCATTCGGTGATCGCTGCCAGTTTTCACCCTTGCGATCACTGAGACATCACTGAACAGTTGGCGTTATTGCACACACACAAACCAAGTTATTGCACTCTTCATAAGAAGGGCAGAATACTGTTCCCGATAACAACGCACGTACCTTATTGAATGTGGAAAGATTTCGTTCTACCAGCTTAGACCTGAACTCAATGACGTTTCATTGATCTTAGGTAAAAAGAAAATTCAGTCAAAGGAGGTTAGCACAGGAGTTAACTTAGGTGCGAATTAGACATGTGTCAATCATGAATGATTCGTTCGTTTCGTTCGTTCGTTCGTCAAAAACCGACCGAATCCCGAATGTTCTGACTAACAGAGTACTTGAGCTCGAAATGATCCATTTGAATTATTGATCCGAATGTACCGGTACGCATGACGAAATGTACTAGAATGATTAGGTCACGAGAAATAAATGATTGACACATGTCTAGTGAGTATTTTTCAGAACACATAAAGAAAATAATAAATAAATTAATCTAATAATAAAAGTAATACATGTTAATTTCTTACCACAAAAAAATAGAATTTATTTAATACTTACATAATATCTAAACCCTACCTTTGGGAATAAATAGTGTTTCTTATAACCAAATTCATTTATCTAAATGCACATGGGAAATGTCAATTTTGTAATCGCGTAACTGCAGGTCCGTTGTTTAAATAAAGTTCAGTTACTATACATATATAGTAACTGATTTTTAAGCGAGACATTCTTGTATATGTATTATATATTATGTATGTTTTTTATCGGAAACTGCCCTTTTTACTGGAAACGGAGAATTCCATCTTAGGTCCTCAGGGGTGATAACGTATCTGTATGTGATTATTAATGGAGGATACTACACTTACTGAATGTTTGCTCGTTTATCATCCTTATTATATAAAAAAGAAGATGATGTTTTACGTTACAGGTACACCTAGATAGGTGTCAATAAAAATTTATAATATTTTTTCTAACACCACTCGAACCTCGGTCGTTCAGGTATTACTTTCAAAATTAAAAAATAATCAACATAAATACAAATACAATAAATTCAATTCAACTCCTAAAATAATTGAAAATAACATAAATACAAATACAATAAACTCAATTCAACTCCTAAAATAATTCGAGCTTCTCTATTCAATAACTGCTTCGAAATATGTTTCCTACCAAAATAAAACTTTCTACAATAAAGCCTCTAAAACCAAACATTTAGAGGTTTTTATAACCCCATTTAAAACAACGTATGCAAATATTTTATTTAGCCATATGGTTAAATTAAATGTTGCTTATAAATTATACTAAAACTTTTTTGTGAAAATGCGAATGTATAAAATAGGAAAACGTAGTCCGGTTCTCCATTAAAGTGTGTTTGCAGGACTTAATAATATTAAGTCCTGCAAACACAATTTAATTCTCAGTTTGTTGTCGATAATTCCTCCCGTCAAGCTTCAGAATACAAAATTAAATTACATAGTTTACTTACTCAGCTTGTAATATTTAATTAACAAAGGATTTGAATAAATCTATTTCATCAATGAATTATAATTTTTCGGTGATGTAACTCTACCATCCCTCACTATTATGTCTTTCACATTATTTTGATTTTAATAAACTAGGCTCCTGAGATTACTGTCAAAGGGCTGTTAATGTCGAAGAACTTACAACTAGTGGGAAATGGGAGGGCAACGTTCAAGCCTCGTGTAAATGTAACTTGATGAATTGTCCTATTGTACTTTTCTGGTGTAATGAAAATTTGATAAAAATAATACTGTTACTTTGTAAGGTGTCCATTTTAATCGAATGTTTCAGATAAAACTAAAGCGAATTTCGTCATCAAATTTAATTACCTAAATTAAATTTTTGATTTCACATAAAATATTTTGTAGGTGCTCGTATTCGCCCTTAAGCTTTTTTGGGTAGTAAAACTTTTATGATATATTTTCATTTTTCATAAAACTATAAAATATATATATAAAGTTACTCGTAAGATTCAAATACCTATATTATTAAATTTTACTGTTCTTGAAAAACTTGAGTGGATGCTACATGCAAGAACGATAATTTTCATACCAAAAAGACACGGGTCGCATCGGCTAATTACCATAAGGCTGACGGAAGTTTGCGAGATAAGAGGTGCGCATTAATGTCTTGGCTTTAAAACCTCACAATTTCAATGCCAGTGGGTTACGTCACCGGATTAATATACCTGTATTATATAATACAACTAACTACTAAGTACGTAAGGGTAAGTATTAAGTAGTATGCTATATAATAAGTTTTGCCGCCCTATAAAACCAAAACTAGGAGGAGGGGAGTGATAAAACCAACAAATTCGGTACTATAACTAATATATTAAGAAAAATCTTTGAGTAAAATACAGGGATAACCTATCAGAAGACAACAAACGAAAAGTGTAAAGGCTTTCTGGCATCATAGATGAACATCTAGCATATGAAATCTACAATAAATATCTGGTCACAATAGAAGCAGCTGTATTAGCATTATGAGGACAAAGCCTACGTATTATACAGTATACGTGGTAGAGCCACGCTGCAATTATATTATTAGTATAGTTGTAGCATGAATGGGCCGGCTCGACCGGGAAAGGACCACGCTCTCACAGAACACCAGCGTAAAACAGTAGGTTAATGCTGCTGTGTTTCGTATGGTGAGTATAGAGAAAAGGAGACCCTTTTACTGGAAAAGAAGCATTCCATCATAGTCCTCATGGGTGACAACGCATCTGCATTTTGATTCGTAATCGAGGATAGATGTAGATATATATGGGCCGCAGCAACCACTTACCATCAGGTGGAGTGTGTGATCGTTTGTCACCCTATCCTATAAAAAAATCCAACAGCAGTACGGGTTGCCTTAGCCTCAAAGGCCTGAAGGCTTACACAGTAACCGGGACTACCAGGTGGAAACACGTTACGATGTCAATTCCTTAGCAGAACTGGTGTCAAGTAGTGAAGGTTCTCTAACCAATGAACAAATACATATCTATTATAAAATTTTCGAGTATCGACGCAGGTGTAGTCGATATCTTTTTTTTTGGATTCTCCTGGTGGAACAGGCAAGACTTTGGCCAAAGTGAAGAGGAATCGTGATATCGCCTTAGCAGTCGCATCGTTCGGAATTGCTGCCACTCTGCTGGAAGGATGTAAAACTGCACACTCCGCGTCTAAACTTCCTCCCGGTTTGCTACAAACCGAAACACCACTCTGCAATATATCCAAAGAAAGTAATATGGTAGAAGTACTCCGCAAAACGAAATTAATTGTTTGGGTTGAGAGTACTGTGGCTCATAAAGAGGGTTCCGAAGCCCTAAATAGATCTTTACAAGATATTAGGAATAAAAATTGTCAAATGGGAGGAGTTACTATATTGTTAGCACGCGATTTCCGGCGGACTTTCCCACTAGTGCCCAGAGGAACGCGAGCGGACTAAGTTAAACCGTGCATGAAACGGTCTCATTGTGGCCTTCAGTGACAAACTGAACCTTACCAAAGATAAGAGAGTCCATTTTAGGAGAGATGTAACTGCTTGATAGTTCTTAAAATAGGAAATGGTGATTTCTTGAATTGTTGACCTGTTGCTTAAAATAGGAAATGGTGATTTCCCGGAACTGAATAATAATATAATTCTCCTTACTGAGTTAGGTACAATTGTTTTCACTGTAGAAGACCTTATAGCTAAAAGTTACCAGTCAATTATATTCACGATAAACCTGCAGAATGGTTACGCGAGTGTACTATCACAACACCAAAACATGAACAAGCCTCAGTCATAAATGAAATACTTTTGAGATCATTCAAAGAGGTCGAATATCAATACAAATCCGTCGACTCAGTGATAAACACCGATGATGCCATTCATTATCCGGTCAAATTCTTGAATACACTGAAATCTCCCTGGTCCCAGTCTACCAACTCACATATTAAAATTGGAGCCCCAACTCTAATTATGTTGTGCAATGGAACCAGATTGCAAGTGAAAACATTGCATCGCAATGTAGTCGAGGCAGATATACTGACAGATTGTTCTCAAGGAGTGTTTGTATTTATGGGATTAGGTTAAGATTCCCCTGGCACCATCGAATTACCCCTTCGAATTCCAGAGAGTGCAGTTTCCTATCAAAGTTGCTTGGTCATAACCATAAATCAGCTCAAGGTCAAAATCTCAAGGTCTGAGTAGACGTGAGAGATAGCTGCTTCTCCCACGGTGAGTTTTATGTGGCGCACAGAGTAGTCTGGTGATTCTAGTGCCCGAAGGAAAACAAAAAATATTGTTTAAGTACAAAGAAACACTGCGGTAGGTGCAGTATTTCGATTTCGATATAAAAAAAATTGTGTCACTGTCACCAAGGCCGAGCTTCGTGTTCATAAAATATAACAAAATTTTATTTTATTTTGATGTTTATTTAACCTTTAAATCCCTACACTATAATAAAGATTATTATATTTATAAGTATTCAAACATTTTAACATAGTAATTTATATGTTATAACAAAATTAATAACGTAAAAAACTAATTTAAAATCCTATTAGAACCATTTTCTTCCACGCCGACGAAGTGCCGGGAAAAAGCTAGTACATCATATATTTCTTTTACCTTATCCCTTAAAATAATGTTTCACTTATATCATGCCCCACTTGATAGTTAGTATTAACGATTTTGCCGAAGTCCTAAGTTTAGCATTTACTCAATCGCAACAAATGTAGATTCATTAGTTAGTCGGATATATTGAATTTATAAACTGACTTACCATCGATTGGTGTCGTTTGTTGGCTGGAATTGATTCTCGGCCTCTCTTCTCCGGCTGCTATGTGTTTAGCGGTGCGCCGCGCTACTGGCCGCAGCTCCTTGTCAATGTCACTTGCCTCTTCTTCTTCGTAGTTGTAGTCGATATCTGTAACATAATTTGTTATAACCCAGTCGTTCATAGTAATGTAAAGTAAAAGTTACAGCCTATATACGTCCCACTGCTGGGCACAGGCCTCTCCTCATTTCTGAGAGAGTTTAGGGCAAGTAAGTGTCCACCGCGCTGCCCGAATGCGTATTGGCGAACTTCACATGTCTTCGAAATCTTTTTTTTCCTTATTCCTCAGACATGCAGGTTTCCTCACGATGTTTTCCTTCACCGCCGAGCACGTGGTAAATCAGCACTTAAAATTGCAATTAACAATTTCTGTGGTGCCGGCGGGGATCGAACCCGGCGTTCTGTTATATATACAGCGAGCGTTAACCATCTGAGCTACCACGTCTCATTCATAATATGTACCATTTCTAGGGTATGGTTCAAAAAGGATTTTCAGTCCTCAATAATGCAATTATTTTAATATAGATAAATAATACGTGATCGCCTTTTATTAAAACTTAAGGGACTATCCTTAAGTGATCTAACTTACAGTCCACCTGTAACCAACTCCAAACATAGAAGGCTGCAGACGGCATGTAATTAGCAACAGCCGAGTTCGATCACCGCCGGTCTGATGATGTTAAATACAATTTGTAGTGGTGTTTATAAGTGCTATTTAATTACACGAGGATGTCAAGTTCGCCTTCAACAGTTTCGCAGTTTCGCATTTAACATAATCTTGAACAGTGCGGCGGACTAACCGCTACATATTTTCAGAATATGAGAAGAGGCTGACTTGCAATTGGACTTACAAAGACTGTAACTTCACTTTTCCTTATTAAGAGAGTTTTATAGATTATTTTTACCTTTAATGTTTACAATGGTGTCGGAGCGAATCGAACCGGGGTATGCTTACGTATAATGTGCTACCATGGCTCAATCAGTAACGTAAAGTTACAGCCTATATACGTCCCACTGCCGGGCACAAGCCTCCCCTCATTCCTGAGAGGGTTTTAGGGCAAGGAATTAGCATGTTTCCTCACGATGTTTTCCTTCACTGCCGAGCACTTGGTAAATCGGCACTCAAAATAGCAATTAATATTTCATTGGTGCCGGCGGGGATCGAAACCGGTTTGCTCGCGTACTGTGAAATTTACAGCGAGCGCTAACCATCCGAGCCACCACGGCAACGTAACATCAAATAAATTACGCTATAATGATATAAATATAACACTATAAAATAACACGCTTAACCATTTTGCTGTTCCATGAATGTTCTGTTTTCAAAGAGTATCCAAATTTTATATTTAAGTTCAAACTAATGAATAATGATATACCGTTATTGCAGTTTTTGAAAGTATGAGAATGTATGGCTTTTACTCTTATTGCCTGCCAAATTGAATGTGATTTATGGGCAACAACTTCACGTACGCGCGCTTCTCTTCAAGTATGCCAAAACTCACACGGATGAGCGTGAGTTTTGGCATAGTTAAAGTTTATATGGAAAAGGTGTACAGAAAGTTAAAATTTATACGTATGTACGTATAAATTTACTGATACACTAAGTTACGTAATGAGTTACAAATACACTGAATTAAATATTCATTGCATTATGTTCTTACTTCCAATGTCAAACATTAAATAAACTATGTTTGTCTGTCCATGTAGGTTAACCTTCTAAATCGCTAAACCAATTTTAATGAAACTTCACGAACAGATAGGTATCAACGCCAAGAGTGATCTAAACTATATTTTATCCAAAAAACTTGGAGATTTATTTAATTTGAAATGGAAATATTGTTACGATAAATAGTCATTTATGATTATTTTAAAAAATATAATGACGACACATTAATAGATTCAACCCAGATGAAGATACCATTTTACAAAAATTTATGAACATATCAAATGCACATCATAAATTGTATTCAGTTAACAGCTTCAAAAATAATTTCACGGCGGTAAAATTAAATTTATGAAAAATTTCATCAGCCAGACAAAAAATAATGATGTGAAATCATAAGCCTAGTCCACACAATTGCGATTTCTTTAAGATAATATTAAGATAGTTTAAGGATTATGATATTTACGAGTATACAATTTAACCCTCCTTCGTGTCTGACCGCCCAACAGACCCGTGACGTAAGAGGCTGAACTGAGTGAAACAAACCAAGAGATGGGCAGCAACTTCTTCCTGATAACAACAACAAAATATGTATGCCGAACCGCTCGCCTAGCATGGCCAATAAGGTAAAATCTCGCCCCATAAAGCAGTCTGGCGAAGCCCCATGTTCAGCAGATGATATAATAGAATGTAACGATGATGGACATTATATTTCAAGACTCAAGTAAAAACAATATAAGGTTGGTTGTTATTGTTTCCTCTACCATATAATAATATAATATATTCAGGGTCTTTCGATTTCAATACCTATTTTAAAATAATAAATATTATAAAAACTAAAAAAATATTGTATTAGAACTCTTAGTTCTTATTTCTTTTCTGACAAAGGTACATACTTGTAAATAATTTGCACGAGAAACTAAATATCCATTGTAACTATTTCACTAGGCGAGTCAAAGAAATCATTCAAAGAAATAATTAAGTATAATCAACATACAATTTGTACGAGTTTAAAGTTGAAAATGGTACAGTATATATTATACCACAACATCAGCTTATCAAAAGTTCACTGCTGAATATAGGCCTACATATATATCATAGAATATTATAATGCACAATAGAATGGCTGTCAACTTTATTTTGTACGAGGTTTAGTGTCACCAAACCCGATTCGCTGTATTGACTGAATAAATTTACACATTTTAGACTTTTGATTAATGTTCAAGATCATCATTAAAAAAATCGTTTAAATTTTAATACATATTTATTTGTAAATACGGTGCAATTTGGCATTTTTTAAATAATTTGCATGCGAAATTTGGAAACGATTGTAACGTCAAAACACATCTCGTGATGACATTTATACGTGTGAATTGAAGTGTTAGTGATAATTTAGTGGCTACACGTTCACACGTTCTATTATGTATGTATTAATGTATTATATGACATATATTGATTGTCTACATAGATAGACTCATATGGGGATAATTCCATAGTTGTCATGCTTGGCAAGCGGGTTGGCAATCGCAATTTTTTTATTCAGCCGTTATCAGGAAGACGTAACTGCCAATGTCCCGAGTTCAGTTTCCCTCTGTTGCCTCTTACGTCTCCCACGACATGATATGGCTGGATAGTGGTTATTTTTACACACAGATTATCCCCTACTGTGTTTTTACACCACAACTATACTAATACAGTATATAAAATATAAGGATACTAAACAGTTAGCTAAAATATTTTAATATGGCATGCTTAATGATTACTTTTTTCTTTACCTTGTTAAAGAAACGAATTTAATTTAATTAATCTTGACACAATACAACCACAAAGCATTTTTCAGTAAGTATTAGCAGATTTCTAAAAGCTCTCTCTGCGTCTCTATATCAAAATCTCAAACGTTCAAGTGACCATACTACGTCGCTAGTCTAATCCGTACTAAAGTTAAGGATTCCCAGAGCCAGAGATACTCGTACATGAGCAAGATAGAAACCTCTGTGAATGCTATAAAACCATCTCGTCAAGATTACGGCAGCGTAGTTATTCGTGATCCTTTCAACCGTCTGTTTAAAGTTTATATACGATTTTTTTTATATTAAATTAAAAATAATCTTAAAGGTAAATTAAATTAAATATAATATTTTCCTAATTATATTCCAATCATTGTGACCTATAAACTGTCTTTTCTAGCTGTTCGAGGCTGCCACTCCAGAACGTTCTAAATTAAATCACTTTATAGTTTTTGACCTAGGTTGTGTATGTATGATGTGAATGTAGTTTTACTCTTGTTCGCTGTCTTATGGCTGTATAAAAGAATTAATATACCCAATTGTAACCACTATTACTCACTATCTTACCAACTATCTATTTTCTAATAATGATAGTTACTACGAGTATATGATACCTAATGATAGACATTCGTTGCTAAGACTCCTTTTGCACTGGTGTACTACGGTCTGAAGGATATAGAGGCAGTATAATTACGGACTGTGAAATGTGCCAAATTTTAAGTCCGCTCTCATCTGTAAGTCTGAGAACTTCATTTTTTTTACTAGTAATCCGTCCCGGGTTCGCACCGCTGCAATTTACATCTTGTTGTATCATTTTATGTTTAAAAAACCACTGTTCGATAGATTTGAAGTTGGTCGCTTTAGTATTCACAATACGCTAAGCAAGAAAATATTATTTTACTTTATAACGTTATCTTTTTTATTAAGTATTATATTTAATCGTATGACTTAAATGAGAAACGTGAATAATATCAAAATTAGTTAACGCTCATTATTTTTAGATGAAATTTTATCGCGAAACTTGGTTTAAAATTTGTCCACGGGCCCACGACTTTTTAACAATTTTGCATTGAAGTAACATGTATGTACGTAGTACATAATAGCTCAATGCAATTTTGGGAAATTTTAGCTGTCAATGTCAAAGTCATTTTTTAAATCCAATTTTTTAAAATAATATCTTTAGCATATGCCTACGTTATGAAAGACAGCTTCAATCCAAATTACTACATCTAGCGGTTTGGGCTGTGCGTTGATAGATGAGTCAGTCATTTAGGGATAACGTAAAGAATTTTTAATTTTGTAGTAACTTTTTATATTTATTATGGATTGGTTATATAATTTTCACTTTCCTTATTTAAATCGTGCAACAATATACATAGTAAATAGACGATGGCCCCAACCATCATTTCGTATTTTATATATAAGTTTTCAACTCCACTAAAAATATCGTGTACTTACCACGATGTTTAAAAATAGATATAATATGATGCTCATATTATGCCTTAGTACGAAGTCGAGTTATCGCGACGTAAAAGAATCTATCACTCAATTGCGTCACTTGAGTGTCGAAAAAATAAAATTACGACATAACCACTCGATCATACTAGGTTTTACATACACAGAAACACAACGGGAAGCAGTGTCAATAGGTGATTGGTGTCTGGACTGATAAAG